GAAATAAGAGAAATGAAATTAGAAAGATAAAGGATAGTTGTGGGTTTTGGTGGAATGAGGGTGAGGGTCTAGAACAGGTTTTTGTGCAGGACTTTAAACTGCAATTTTCTTGTGATAGTCCCCGTGCTCTCGTGGATATCTCTTCTATTGCAGATATTATTGATCCTTGTATTGACCACCATCACAATGAACTTTTACTCAAGCCTGTTGAAAATATAGAAATATGGGATGCAATTAAAAGAAGGGTTCTTTAGATATAGATCCTTACAACTCTTATTTCCTAAATAAAAACCCACCTAGTTACAAACATCAAAATAAAACCCAAATTTGAAAATGACTGCCAAGTAGAGAAGTAATTAACCTATTATTACAAAATATTTACAACTTGTACCACAATATTCAAAATAAATCAATAAATGTAATTACTCACCTTAATTACAATGAACAAATAGTTATTGCACATATTATTAACCCTAATATATATATATATATATATATATATATAGTACTACTATATGTTCAAACATATTAACTAATTAATCTACCTATATGTAAATTTATGATGAGCAATAATGCATATTTTGTAGGTAAATTAATATTGAAACAAATAACATTCTTTTATTTTGTAGGTAATATATTTTCCATGTATTATTACATATATTTGGCACATTTTTATTATTATAAGATATATGTACAAATAATAGGTAAACTAATTTTGAATCAAAATAAAATTGCTTTATTTGTAAGTAAATTAATTTTGAATCAAATAACATTTTTTTCATTATGTAGGTATTTTATTTTGTATGTATCATCATATATATTGGAAACATTTTATTATTATATGTACAAATAATAGGTAAACTCATATTCAATAAAATAATATTATTTTGTATGTAGGTACATTATTTTCCATGTATTTTGGGATTTACTTTATTTTGTAAGTAAATTATTTTGCATGTACTTTACATTTATTGGGTAAATTATTTTGTTTTTTTAAGCAATCTAATGTTTAAAATTTTGAAATCTAACATCTTTTTCGACTAAAAAAAAAAACATTTTAAAAGTTGAGTGGTAGGTGCACTGAATCAAATAACATTTTTTTATAGGTAAATTATTTTGCTTGAATTTTGACATATAGAATGCATGTTTTTTTTTTTTTTTTGGGTTATATGTGTGTGTGTGTGAAATAATTTACCTACATTTATATGTAAAGTATAATATAATTGACTAAACTAAGCTTGTGTTATTACATATATTAGGCAATGAATTTATTATTTTTGTAAAATCATTCACTCTCCTTTACAATCCGTATGGAATTAATTGTGCACATCAAATATAACATCCACATCGCCCATAGGAGTGGATCATGTAAGTCTTATATGTATATTCCCATCTCTACCTAGTACGAGGCCTTTTAGGAGTTCACTGGCTTCGGATTTTATCGGAACTCCGAAGTTAAGCGAGTTCGCGCCTGAGCAATCTCAGGATGGGTGACCCACTGGGAAGTTCTCGTGTGAGTTCCCAGAAACAAAACAGTGAGGGTGTGGTAGAGGCCCAAAGCGGACAATATGGGCGTGGTAGAGGCCCAAAGCGGACAATATCGTTCTACGGTGGAGTCGAGCCCGGGATGTGGTGAGGGTCTGGGCGGGGATGTGACATCAAACATTCAAATAGGGGTATTTTAGGCCTCAAAATTTTTTAAATGCGTAAAGTCAAACATAATTAATGAATTTACTGATGTGGAATCTTATTAATGAGTTTTATTCGAGTAAAAAACTTATGTTGGGTTTTACGTGGAGAAAATTAAGTTTTAGGGCTAAAGTCATATTTTCAGTTAAAAGAATTGGTGCATTGAAAGCACTAGGTCTGGATGGAATTGGTGCAAGTTTTTATCGTGAATGCTGGGATACAATCAAAGATTCAGTGAGTGCTATGGTTAAGGATTTCTTTGAAAATAGTACTAGCTTGAGGCTTATTAATCATACCAACATTGCCCTCATCCCAAAAGTGGAAAATCCTGAGGTGGTAAGTAATTATAGACCAATTAGTCTTTGTAATGTGAGCTAACTATAAAATAATCACGAAAATCATCATTAAAAGGTTAAAGCCACTTCTCGACCATTTCATATTTGAAAACCGAAGGGCCTTTGCTCTGGGACGTTCTATTTATGATAATATTTTGATTGCGCATGAAATGTTTTCTAGTTTTAAAGGTAAGAAATGAAGGACTAGACCAATGGGAATAAAGTTGGATTTAGAAAAAGCATATGATTATCTTAATTGGGAGTATATTAGATATGTGCTTCTTAGATTTGGTTTTGCGGAAAGATGGGCGAGCTTAATTATGGAATGCATAACTTCAACTTCCTTCTCGATTTTGATTAATGGTTCTACTCATGGTTACTTTTACCCTAAGAAGGGAATAAGGCAAAAGGATCCCTTATCACCTTATAATTTCATTCTTTGCATGGAACTGTTGATTAAACACTTCAACGAAATGGCCACTACCCCTAAATCGCATGTTGGTATTCTGTCATCTCCTGGTGGATTTAGAATATCAAATCTAGTTTTTGTAGACGATTGTTTGTTAGTTGCTAGGGCAACTACAAAAGGTGCTAGGAATGTACTTCATATTCTTAATATGTTTGCCAAAGCTTGGGGTCAAAAGGTAAATTGCCACAAATCCTCGCTTTATTTTTCAGAAAATACTAATGCTCAAACTAGAAATGCTATTGTTAATATTTTACATATTCAACATAAAACTACTATTGGCAAATATCTGGGCATTTATAATATTGTGTTTTGGAAATATCCAGTGAATGAATGTGAATTAATCAAAAGAATTAAGCAAAAGCTTGTTGGGTGGAAGACTAATACTCTCCCTAAGGCAAGAAGACTAACCCTCATTAAGTCCAACTTATTTGGTATGCTGAACCATATTATGTCTTGCTTTAAATGTCTTACTTGAGTAACTAAGAACTTAAACAAGTGTAGGGACTTCTTTTGGGGGAGAGATAGGAAGTTAAAACCTATGGCTTGGAAAAAAGTGTGTACTTCTAAGGATAAGGTGGGGTTGGGCGTAAGAAGAATGGGTCATTTCAATAATGCATGTTTGACTAAGTTAGTATGTTTGACTAAGTTAGTATGGAAAGTTTTAAAGGATGAAAACAATTGGTGGGTGCAAATTGTTAAAAGAAATCACTTAAAAAAAGATGATTTTTTTAGTTGCAAAGTTAAGTAAAACCACTCTTTGGCCTGGAAAGAGATTTTGAATAGTAGACATGTTATTCACATGGGAATTAGATGGGTTGTGGGTAATGGTGAAGAAATCCATTTTTTAGACCCGTCGTTGAGTTTTTCCTTATCCATTGTTCTAGCTAATTCCTAAAAATCAACAGCAGAATATAAATTGGGACACTAAAGTGAGTGAGTTTATTGATAATAAAAGTTGGGATAGAGTTCGTCTCTCCCAAGTGTTGGACCTGAATGTTGTGAGGAAAATTTGTATGGTGCCTATTTCCCTTCAAAATAAAAGTGACAATTTTGTGTGGGCACACTCCTCTATTAGTGAGTTCTCAATCAAGTCAGTAACTTGGATTCAGAGTAATAATAATCAGAAGTTAAAAGGCAGAAGCTCCTTAAGAAGATTATGTAAGTTAATGATACCTCCAAAGGTAAAAATTTTTGCATGGCTTTTTACTCATGAAAAACTTCATACTAGGATGAAATTAAGTAAATTTATTCAAAATATTGACAAATTGTGCCCTATGTGTGGCAATGAGAATGAGACTCAAAATCACCTTTTTTTTTAATTGCAAGCATGCTAAAGAAATGTGGAACATCTCTCTGGTAAGTCATTGGAAGAATAATTTGACTCAGTTTAATAATGTATTAGATTGGATGAAACCTATTGACAATGTTGAATGCAATGATTTGAGTGATCGTAGTAAAGCTATTTTGAATTATTGGCAAATATGGAATGATATAAATAATAATTTTTTAGAAGTATGATTCCTAATCCGACTGGGAGTATCTCCATTGCCGTAAGTGTAAGCTTATCATTTTTTAAGGATAATTGTAAGAAGATCTCTAAGGGGTGATCCTTGCCACCAACGACCCATTTGCTGGCGTCTCCTCCCCATGGCTATGTGAAATTAAACTTTGATAGGTCGGTTAGTTTGGATCGTTTTGCAATTGCTTTTGTTTTAAGAAATGCGGAGGGGCAACTGTTGGTGTTGGGGCATTGAACTTTGATGGCGCCAACATTTCGGTTGCAGAGGCTGTTGCTTTAAAGGAAGGAATTTTGTTCGCTAGGCGCAAAGGTGTGAAAAAGCTGATGGTGGAAGGGGATTCTAAGCTTATCATCCATGTGGAGAAAGATGTTTGGATGCCCCCTTGGCATCTTAAACCTATCACAAAGGACATCAAATGGCTGGCTTCTGAATTCCAGCATATCAGTTGGAAACATATTCATAGGGAGGCTAATTTCGTGGCGGACGCATTATCTCATATGGGCCTCACTTGCCAACCCACATTTTGGGATTTTTATCTTCCGATTTCGGCTATGGAGGCTTTTAATTTTGATTATATGGGAAACAATTGTATTGGAGGTTTTAAGCTTTAATAAATTTCTTCTTCATAAAAAAAAAAAATGTTAGGTAGACAAACTTTGTAGACGAAATTTATAAATTAAATGATATATCACCAATAAGAAATAAGCACGTCAATCAATACGTAATTAATAATTCAATTGTTAACTTTCATATTATTTAGTTTACAAAATTTAGTATATGTCATATTTAGTCTTGCTTAGTATTATCCTTGCTGATAAACATGCATTTGCAATAGGCAAACTTGGGCCTGTTACTTGTTGGGTGTAAACAGAAACTAGAGTTAGATAAATGGGCTTTTTTCTCTTTTTAATTCCTGACTTCCTCTTCTACGCATTTTCCGCAACGGAATTGTCAAAAAAGGGTTTCGCATTGTCACTCGCCATAAATTCTCTGCACAAAAACATCAAAAGGTGAAAGATAAGAGTCTTGCTAAGAAATGGCGACGGCGATGTTCCGATCTGCTGGGCTTCGAACCGCCCTGCGTGGCGGCTCTCGATCCGCTGCTCCCCCAAGGCGCTCATTCTCCTCCTCTGCTGGACACGACGATGCTCGTAATTTCTTATCTCTCTATCTGTCTCCGTCGCGTGCGCGCACACACACGCGAATATATGCGACTCGATTATTTAATTGTTGATCTTTGATATATAATTATTATTTCTTAGTTTTAATTCGAGATTTATTAATCTGAGAAAATTCAATTAGCATTTGCGGGTACATGTTAGGTTTTGACCTTAGTTTCTTAGGTTTGTGATAATTTTTCCCTTTTTGTTCAATGATTCTATAGATATGTGTATATTGTAGTGGAAATTACCAAAATGTGCCATAATTGATGAATTTGATTTCGAATTTCGGTGGAGTGGAAAGCCTTTCCGGTTAGTTTGAATAATTTTGAATGCCATGGTGACAGCTTAAGGATTCAGATTCATCTGGGTTTGGAGCAGAAAATTCATTGTTTTAATACGTTGGCATCGCCGATTATTTCAGTGGTTTGACATTGTATTTGATCTGTTTTTCTCTTTCATTTATTCAGGTGAGACGGCCAAGTGGGAGAAGATAACTTACCTGGGCATCGCTTCCTGCACTATTTTAGCTTTTGTTAACCTGTCAAAGCCGCATCCTCACTACGATGCTCCTCCCGTGAGCTTTCTTCTTAAGCATTGTGATTTTTTTCACTTTGTTTTCCTTGATATTATATATAGCTTTACCTTATGCATTTGATAGTGATTCCTCGTTATCTGCTGTCTATGTTTGCAGGCTTACCCATACCTGCACATCCGCAATAAGGAATTCCCATGGGGTATGATTCTGAACATCATTATGGCCTGAATTTATAATAATCTTCTATGACTCGAATATTTTTTGTTCTTTCTTTACTTTAATATTTCTGCAAAGTTCTACATCGTGCAGCGCATTCTATTTGATTGTATTCACCTGTACCTATTACTTATCAGTTGTGGGTTTTGTTATAGTTGATCAGTGTGTCTAGTGAAGAACGTCATTCTTTGGTTGTTCAGTTAGTGGAAGGAGCATGTTTGAATTGTTTTAATGACCTTAGATGCATTTTTATAACCCTAAAAAGGATAAAGGGAGACCAATATTGTGCCATATATGTGTGATGTGGCCCCAAGTTGATAGTTATTCTACCACTGGCTTTTAGAAATAGATGAAGTTTTTTGGTAGCAAGGAAAGATATGATCTTCCTGTCTTGAAATTTCTTCTCCCACAGATTGGTCAAACGAATAAGTAAAATTTTTGTATTTAACCTCAAACTGTTGATAATAATGGTTTGGCCCTGTCTTGAGTGGGGGCTAATAAGCTAAATGATCGTTAATAGCATGGCTCACTATTTACTGCAGTAGTGCTGGCATGTTTTAATAATGTAGGCACCTATTTCTGTAGTGTCTTACAGTGTATCGAGTTCGGACTGCCATATTTGATGCCTGAATATTCTTAACTTGAGGATATGCAAAACTTTGAAGTCATTGTTAAAGCTGGTACATTGTTGTTGTTTGCGGATGTAGGTACGAGCCTTTGTCCTTTTCAGATATTCTAGATAGTTATCCTTTAAAGATATTGGGTAGACATGTTGTATGCTTATTGGTAAAATGGTACTTTCAATAACCTGTTTTTGATTTTCTTAATTAACTTACAAGAACAGAAATTTCAATTGCTTTTGTGCTTTGTACTGCTGTCTAATCCACCAATTTGAGATGTTGAAGCGTTATTGTTTTCTGGATCTGTGTTCATTAGGTTTCACCTTTTTATTCTCTTTGTATTAAACATTGCTCAAATATCTGAGCGTTTATATTTTTGTTGTACAGGTCCAGATGGCCTTTTTGAAGCAAAGCATGAGCACTAGGCTGTCATTTGGGACATTTCAAGGAGGCACCATTTGGAATAACTCTGTTTCACGTTCATGTCAGATGGATTCATTTGTCTTCTTTGAATTTCTTTCGATATGAATACTTGCGCTTATTTTTCAACATGAATTCGGGATCAAGACCTTGTGGCAAGTTGTTCAATTTTTTGTTATGTTTGTAACCATTGACACAGATAAATAAGATGATGACATGTTGGTTTGTTTCCCTTTCCAGCTTCCTGTTCTTCAAAATTTATGCCTATATTCTTCCGAATATGGAGATTTTTCGGTCTCCTCATTATGTCCGACACTGCTTTTTCGGAGAAATTTATTGACTGATTGATTAGAATGAAAATTCGGGATGCAAATGAAAACTCAAAACCACTAATGAGGTCTGTGGTGAACAAGTGCCTGAGAACAAATACGGAGTATAGACTTGGTACATGTCATTCGGTAATAGCACTCGAAATAAAGATATTAAGTCCTACCGAAACGATAATCTCAAGTCCTTTATCCGGAGAAATTTTAAGGTCAAACTACTGGACCGCCTAATTCGTAAGGGCCTAGACACAAATCCCTTCCCCCTATCCCACGTCCAACTACCCCCACACCCCTTGAATTGTCATGCTCATGCTAACCTTGGCCAATTGAAGTTCCACCCTCCTCTCAGACCGTCTTCAATCCAGGTGCCGTACCCAAGAACCTCTCCTTTCCTTGACTTAACATTTGGCGAAAGACAGGTAAAACAAGAAAGAGAGATTCTTGTTTCCTTTGGCAAAAATAAGTAAGATTTTCTCCCCTCTTATTTAAACGGTTACGATTAAGTCACGTTAACATCTTATATTAATTTTTTTTTTTTTTTATAAAGAGTGCCAAAAAAAGGAAATGTGAGAGGAGGGGAGAGAGGAGGGGATTAGGAGGAAAGAAAATCCTACTCCTGACAAAAGACAGGTAAAACAAAAAAGATTCGTGTTTCCCTATGCTTGTATAGGGGTACTATACATAAGGGGCAGGTTGGAACAAAATACAAGGGTTAAGGATTGTGTTTCCGGAGAGAGTCATATGGTCTGGATGTCCGAACCTAAAGAATTTCTCTAGAAGAGTAAGAGGAAATACATCATCAAAAAAATTCCTGTCAAAATATTGCCCTCAAGAGTCAAGATTGATATAATAACTTTCGCACTATAATCACAACAAGGTACAGCCATCAATGAAGGTTACAGTTATGCAGAATCACCTCACAAGAAAAAAAATAAAATCAAAATGACATAAATGGTTGCGGAAATGAATGGTGAACTTATTGAAATGTTTTACTCAGCGGCCGTATCACCACTGTTATTAGTTGCAGTTTTGTCCTGGGATGCTGAAGAATTTGACGATTCTTCTTTGTCCTGGGATGCAGTTTTGTCCTCAACATTAGTATTGGCGTTTGACGATTCTTCTTTGTCCTGGGATGCTGAAGAATTTGACGAGTCAACTGATTCTTCCTTATGGCCTGCACCTGTATCAGCGTTTTCGTTTGGGTTGTTTGGAACACCACTGCCATTTTCGTTCTGGCTCGCATCCAATTTGTTATCTGGGTTTGAGGGGGCATCTTTCTCTTGTTGAAAGGAAGAAGAATCACCACCTTGCTTTTGGCCAGCATCTTCATTCTCGTTTGTTTTTTGAGAGAGTATATTTTCCTGTGTTCCTTCTACCTCGGTGTTACTGCTGAGCTTTTGAGTCTGAACAATGCTCATGGTTGAAGGTGCAGAACTTTTATCTGTTTCTGTAGGTGTACTGGAGTTGACAGTCTGACTATCCGAGACACCAGATTCAGAATTACTAGAAGTATCTGGGGTTACTCCATTTGTAGCATCACCATTCTCAGTTATAGTGGAAGCAGTTGTGCTAGAGTCTTGTTGCTCACTGTTGGCAGCTACATCAGATCTCTCGGTTTGCTCTAATACAACGTTTTGCTGTGTAGAGTCATTGGACTTAGTCTCCACTTGCTGCTGATCTGTAGAACTTTGTGGTGTAGAGTCATCCATCTTTGTGTCCATTTGCAGCTGATTGGTTGAATTTTTCGGTGTAGAGTCATCTGTCTTGGTGTCCACTTGTTTCTGTTCCGTTGGATTAGGCGTGGAACCATTGCCTGGTTCCAAGTGATTACTCTCACCACTGCCCACTTCAGTTTCCTTGGCCTTTTCATTACCATTCAGTTCAATCTTTTCAGTCACTTCCACATTTGAGACAGACTTGTTTTGATCAACATCAACCACTTCAGTGCTATTTGTATTAATCTCTTTGTCTCCAAACTGCTTTTCTTCATTAGAATTTTCTAAACTGCCGTGTTCATTATCTTGTGTCGCATTCTGAGTTTTGTGGGCCATAGCACTGGAAGCATCATCAGCTTGTAAGGCTCTTCTCTTGCCCCCTCATCAGTTTCACCTCCATCTCGAACCCGATCATCAGTTAAAAGCAGCTTCTCAATCTTATCACCTTCCTTCTCCTCGGCCTCCTTTTCTTTATCATCCTGTATCATTGCGTTCCTCTCCCTCTTTATTATCCACCCTTTGAGTCTCCTCTGATGTTCCTTTCTCTTCAGTTTTGTCCTCTTTGATCTCTTCATTCTCCTTCTGTTCAGTTTCTTTCTCTTTGGTTTCGTAGTTCTCCTTCTGCTCGCTTTCTTTCTCTTTGGTCTCGTGGTTCTCCTTCTGCTCACTTTCTTGCTCTTTGTTCTCTACATTCTCCTTCGGTTCACTTTCTGTCTCTTTGGACTCTCCATTCTCCTTCTGTTCACTTTCTTTCTCTGTAGTCTCTACATTCTCCTTCTGTTCACTTTCCATCTCCTTGGTATCTCCGTTCTCCTTCTGCTCACTTTCTTGCTCTTTGTTCTCTACATTCTCCTTTGGTTCACCTTCTGTCTCTTTGGACTCTCCGTTCTCCTTCTGTTCACTTTCTTTCTCTGTAGTCTCGACATTCTCCTTCTGTTCACTTTCTGTCTCCTTGGTCTCTCTGTTCTCTTTCTCTACAGTCTCTACAATCTCCTTTTCTTCACCTTCTTTCTCTTTGGCCCCTTCGGTCTCCCTCTCATTGCTTTCCTCACTCTGCTTGGCTTTGTCGTCTTCATCCTTCCTGTTTCCATTTTCGTTCTCTTTACTCTCTTCATTTTCATTCACATTGCTCTCTTCACTAGTAACCACCTTGTTCGTTTCACTTTCTTTCTCACCTTCTACCGAATCACCTTGATCTTTTGTCCTCTCATCAATTTTGTTCTCACCATTTTCATTCACCTCATCATCTCCAGTGCCTCTTCCAACATTATCGATCTCTTCAGGCTTGTTTTGTTCTTCTTCCTCCTCCTCCTTCTGCCCTGCATTCCTATCGACAATTTCCTCCACGACAGGCTTGAGATCCTTTCTTCCTAACTTGAGGATCTCATCCCCACCATCCTTTATTTTATCCCTGAACTCGGCTTTTTTGCCATGAGACTGCTTGACTTGGTAAGCCAGCCAGACGCACACACCCAGCAAAAGAAACAGCTGCAGTGCATGCTTGACCTTAAGCCCCCTAGATCTCGAGCTCCTGCGAGGAGATAGCTTGAACATCCTGAATCTCTTTCAGGCTACAACCAATACGTCCTTTAAACAAAACCTGAGTAACAATTAAACTTTTCTTAATTCTTCGATTCGCATCCAAACACGGGTAAACAAAATTGAAATCTTCCCAGAGTCATAAAACCAAAATTTAGTACAAAAAGAACATGTTCACTTAAACCGATCTACTTATAACTGCAAAAATGTATTTGCATAGCAGTAATTATGTGAATGATGAATCAAACTCTTACAGATGGAACCGAAATCAGCAATCCTGAATTCAACTGGACAAGAACCAGAGAAATCCATTTCCACATGAAAAGCTATCAACATTGGTCATTTTTGCAATCACTAACGAGAATTTTCAAATTCCAGAGAAATCCCACTTGGGTTTGATCACCATCTAACCAAATCAGTAATCTTTTTCACATTCAATCCAAGACATAACAAAATTACCATCAGATCTAATCATGTTCCTAGTTTCTAAATCAGAAAATGGAGTCAGAATGCCAATCAAGAGAGAGAGAGAGAGAGAGAGAGAGAGATAAATACCAGAGGGAGTTGCAGGCGGTTGGATTCTGCCAAAGGATGAAAAGTTGAATACTTTTCCTTTTAGGACTAGTAGTAGGTATACTCCTTTTAGAAATGCAGACACTTGGAACTCTACACGCACTAAAATGCTGCCTTTTCTTCTTCTTATTCCCACCCACCTTGGATTTCGATCTGGAATCTGGTAGTAGTGCAAATTTGGGAGTTGCAACCTCGATAAAACGACAATTTAACCATCAAATTCTAGTGAGAGAAGGAGAGAGGAGAGAGAGAGAGAGAGAGAGGGGGGGGGGTTTCATAAAATCACCGGGCTTGCTGTCATAAATTTAAGGCAAGTGGGGACGTGGCCCAAATCCAAACCCTTTGCTTTACATTATCGGTTGCCTTATTTCCTCCAAATACGACGGCGTTGCATTTGGCACGTACCAGATTCGGGGTTCACGATCCGCCACGTGTCCATCTCGAGATCGAGGAAGTCGGTTAGCTTAGTTCCAACTCAAAATGGTACTTTGCCCTTTGCGACTTCATCACAACACCGCCAAAACGACGCAAACGACGACCCGCTAAAAAAAAAAAGGAAAAAAAATGGCAGCGAAGCTACTCGCTTCCGCTCTCCGCCGCCAAACCCTAACCCCAAAACCTGCCTCCGCTGCCTCCCATCTCGTCCGCACCGTCTCCACCGCGGCTGCCGTCGCCGAACCCTTCGACGACGCAGATGGAGTTTCAATGAAGGGGTGAAAATTTACGGCCGGCCTCTGTACCTGGACATGCAGGCCACGTCGCCGGTGGACCCCAGGGTCGTCGACGCCATGCTTCCTTACTACCTCAGCCGGTACGGAAATCCCCACTCCCGGACCCACATGTACGGCTGGGAGTCCGACTCCGCCGTTGAGACGGCCCGCACCCAGGTCGCCGACTTAATCGGCGCCTCCCCCAAAGAAATCGTCTTCACCTCCGGCGCCACCGAGTGCAACAACATCTCCGTCAAGGGCGTCATGCACTTCTACAAGGACAAGAAGCGCCATGTCATCACCACCCAGACGGAGCACAAGTGCGTTCTGGATTCGTGCCGTCATCTGCAGCAAGAGGGCTACGATGTGACCTACCTTCCGGTGAAGTCCGACGGGCTTATCGACCTCGATGGGCTACGGGCCGCCATTCGGCCCGATACAGGGCTCGTATCGGTCATGGCGGTGAACAACGAGATTGGGGTTATTCAGCCCATGGAGGAAATTGGGGAAATTTGCAAGGAGTTCAAAATTCCATTCCATACTGACGCCGCTCAGGCGCTTGGGAAGATCCCAATTGATGTGGACAAGTGGAATGTGAGCTTGATGTCGCTTTCGGGGCACAAGGTTTACGGCCAAAGGGGGTCGGGGCTTTGTACATGAGGAGGAGGCCGAGAATTCGGGTGGAGCCCCAAATGAATGGAGGTGGGCAGGAGAGAGGAATTCGAAGCGGAACAGTTCCTACGCCGTTGGTGGTAGGATTTGGTGCGGCCTGCGAAATTGCGAAGAAGGAAATGGAGTACGATGAGAAGAGGGTAAGAGAGTTGCAGGATCGGATGTTGAAGGGGATTAGGGAGAAGCTTGATATGGTTGTGGTGAATGGTAGCGAGGAGAGACGTTATCCCGGGAATTTGAATCTGTCGTTTGGTTATGTGGAAGGGGAGAGCTTGTTGATGGGGTTGAAGGAGGTGGCGGTGTCGAGTGGGAGTGCGTGCACCAGTGCGAGTTTGGAGCCGTCGTATGTGTTGAGGGCATTGGGGGTGGATGAGGACATGGCTCATACTTCAATTCGGTTTGGGATTGGGCGGTTCACCACGGAGGAGGAGATTGACAGGGCGGTTCAGCTGACAGTGCAGCAGGTGAAGAAGTTGAGGGAGTTGAGCCCGCTGTATGAGATGGTGAAAGAAGGGATTGATATCAAGAGTATTCAGTGGTCACAGCATTGAGGAGTTTGTAAGAGGGACTGGGTGAAGCAGCGAGTATAAAGATGCACGAGTGAGAGCTGATCGAGTAAATGGAGAATTTGAGGTTCATTTTGCGATCCTTGTTGTAAATGCTTTTGACAACTCTCCATAATTACTCCATAACTAAGCTTTGCAAACACGTAGTTGTTTTCGATAGTTTCCCCGTGCTGTTGTGCATTCTTGGCATGTGATATGGGCAACGATACGTTTGTTGAATAATTAATTATGTTTCACTAATTTCTATATGCATATGTGTGTGAGAATGTTTCTATAATTACTCCATTGATGAACTCTGTGAAGCTGTTGGGATTAGAAGTAAGCTGGGGCTTAACTAATAAATTCGACCATTGCTTCCAGTTGGAAGCGGTTTTCTCATGCCATATTTACATTGGGGATGTCTGCATGAATGAATTGATAAGGCACACTTAGGATGGGGTTTGTTTGTAACTTATCAAGTGTTTTGAGTAGTTCATTGGTAGTGCATTTTTAACAATCATGTCTAAAGTTCCTTGGTACTTTGACATGTAAGAGATATCTCAAGCTGTGTTACAATTAACTTTTGTCTGCCCTCGCTCGAGCATATCTTGTTGGTTTTGTGGTGCACATTTTATACCTCCAATTTGTACTTGGGAAATTATTGCAAATTGTAACGGACCGTAACCACAGCTTGATTAGCAGGTAGTTTCGGTAACTTGAAGTTTCATGATATGACAAGCAAAGACGCCATCACACTTGTACAAATGAAAGATGAAACGAGTAAAGAGTGTTTTTCAAGTAAGCAGCATCAGATTATGCGAGATCGGAGCCATCCTCGGATCTTTCCTTGGCGCTTGGTCGGTAGAGCAAAAACTCTGAACCTTGCGATGACAGCATAACAGGCTATGCAGCATACTAGAATGATCAGAATACCAAGTGGACTGTATTTGGGTAGCACTACAATCATACCTGAAGAAAATGCTACCATCATTCCTCCAATGGAATACTGAATGAGAATTGTAGAGGTACGTGGTGTCGCTTGGTTTAGTGAGAGAGTTACCAACATAAAATGGTTGAACACCACCAAAGTTGATAGAAAGAAGGAGATGACGTCGAATACCACAAACACATGGAAAAATGCCCTTTTGTACAAGACGGGCATTCCGTTGCTTTTGAATCCTCCAGGCAAGGTGAAAGCTGCCGCAAATGTGACGGTTGCAATAAGCATTGCTACCACTAGATTGGTGTCGAACGTGCTCGAGTCATCCCAATGGGCTTCTTGTGCTCTCTTCTCTGCAATGATCAACGTGCTTTTAGGTGTATCGTTCTTCTCCGGTGATTCCAGTTTCATAAATCACGGCGGATTTGTTGTTGGAAGATTGGCACACCAACATGGCGGCCCAGACGCTTCAAATCCTCACGTCCACCGGTGGCGCCCTAGAGTGTATAACGCTTTGTTAGGCTAACCGGGTCTAAACACAAATACAGAAGGAATGATGTTTTCTTGCCAAACAAGTGTTTATGTTGCCAAACTATGAATCTAAACAAAAGACGAGAGGCTATAATTACTCAAAATGAATAGCTATCGCAGCTATATTTCTTACAAATTCAAAATCGTCCCCAAGGTAAACGTCCGCAGCCTTCAAGAGTTGATTATTGATTGCAGTCTTATCCACTCTAGGATTCCATGCGAAACGTCCTAGGACACTAGTATTACGTTGAATAGCAGCTAGATGCAAGGCGTGTTTCCGTCGTTGTCTGCTTCATTTATAAGTCCTGCAAACTTAGGCGTCCTCAAAATGTATTTGACAGTAAAATATTGCCCACCTAAAACTGCTGCATGCAGAACCGTTTGGCCTTTGTGATTGACCAATTCACAAGTATCAGGCCGGAATTGTGTCAGCACTTCCATCACTTTCTTGCGGCCTGCGTACGCCGCAACATGAAGAGCTGACATTCCAGATTTGTCCAAGATGTAAGAAATAGAACTATCCTGCTGCATCAATAATCGAGTTGCTTTAACGTTCCCTCTCAACGACTGCATAGTGTAACAGAGTCCATCCGTTGGCGTCAGTTTCTTTGATTATTTCAGGATGGCTGGACACCATCATCTCCACGATGCCTAAATTGTATGGAAACATAAAAGCCGGTAGGAAGTGAGACGTATTAGTTAATTGAAGTATGTTTTTCAGAGAAGTGATTTCCACAGCAATTTTTTTTCTAGCCTTTGAATTTTTGTGAGCCACTCATCTCAAAAGTCCAATGATATTCCATTCCTTTCATTTCCATACCAAATTTACACCTAAAATCACTTGTAAGTAATCAATATTATCCGCTGATTTTAGGATTTGTGATAAGTTTTGACTATTTGAGGTTTAAAAAATAAAAAATTCGCGTAATAATAGAATAACTGTTGGAATCAAATTACTAAACAAATCTATATAATAGTTCTTTGTATTCCTTCCTTTTCTTCTTGTTATATAAAACCCATAGTTAGGATTGAATATTTACCTTGCTAGTCGTCTTCTTTTTTGTTTCATTTTGTGTGTTTTTTCTGCCTCACGATATCATTTTTCACTTTCTTCTTCTCATGCTTCCACTAAATTTGAAATTTGATTATGTTTGATCGGAGAATGGAGGTTGATTGGCTTTTTTCAATCAAATTGCTTGTTCTGTTCAAATTAGTTTTATGGTCAAAGTTGGATCATCATTTGAGTTGCATTTCCACCCAAATTAATTGGTTTCATGGCCGATATTAATCCACCTGTATCACAGGATTTTCTTTGTGACCTACACTATCGTAGACATAGTGTATTTTTTCCATGTTTATTATCTATCTTTATCACAAATCACTTCTATTTTTTTTCACATGGTAATTTGTCTTGCTTATAAGTACATAAATTATGTATTTGTACCAATCATTTGGTCTATCCACCAATTGATTAGACAGTTTGTTTTTTCATAATTTGTTTGATATCTTGCTTATAGGTATATTGTAGTGTTTGTGCATTTAGTTAGGTTGTATAATTTTGCAAGTTGATCTATGGTAAAAATAATTTATTCTATTACAAATTAACGAATTAAATGGTTTTCTAGATAGTTAGTAGATTGGAAATGTTTAAACCTTCAAAATTTGAAAACATAGGCAAAAGTAGTTTTTAAAAAAGTTAAGTGGACCTAAATCAGAAATTTAAAAAATTGGATTTAAGCCAATAGTACATGAATTGTTTGGATCTATATATTAATGCCCCTTTAATTTAATATATAAAATGAAAATTTAGGAACCAAAATTACAAGAGTACGCATAAATCATTTACCTTTGCATTTGATTTTGTGAGTTACTGCGGCGTGCAAAGCTGTGACACCATTAGTTCCCTGGAAAGAAGTAAATGTTGGATACTTGTCTAACATATAACGAGCAATGTTCGGAAAGTCCTTGCTAATAGCTAAGAACAATGAGGATTCGTTGGCGCTGTTAGTAAAACTACACAATTCAGGATCAGCTTCAACCAACAGAATCACCACTTTGAGGTGACCGTACTTGACGGCAACATGTAATCCTGTATCCTCAATCAAATTTTTGATCCGGAGTAACTCTTTATACGCTTTGCCACCGGCCAGTGCACTTTCCTCATCTGCTCCGTCAGTGTGTAGCATCCTTGCATGATTAATGAGCAACCCTACTACTTCATCACAGCCTGCTTTGGCAGCTACGTGCATGGGAGTGTCGCCTTTGTTGTTGGTGTCCCAAAATAGTGGAGATTGATTGTCGATCGGGACGCCTTTGAAAAAATCGATTTGTTTGAACTCAGCTGCAAGATGAAGAATATTGTTATTTTTAGGTGTTTTCTGCAGAAGAAGATTAATCGACAGACCACCATCTCTAATTTTTTTAAGGAAACCAAGATCACCCGATCTTGCTGCCTCGTACACAGAAGGATCCATAGCTTCAAACATCATCTTTCAACTTTGTATCGAAATATATAGTAGAAGGGGCACTAGTGTGAACATTGCACTGTACATATCTGACAAATTTAGTTTATTGCAAATTGCCCGTCAACGGGCACAAGATTAGTCTTATTATTTTTTTTTTTTGGGTAAATAATATGGGAATATGATCCTAGTTGGATCCTCTTTGTAGGAATCCGAATGTTCAATCAATTGTGTTCGTTCATTGTAAATTATACGGTCAGAAATCATTTTATATTTTATATTTTAAATTAAATATAAACAATACTTAATAAAAACTGACTGCACAATATACGATGAACAAATAAAATGGATTAATCATTCAAATCCTCACAAAAAGTATTTGGAGAAGATCCTCATCCAATAATATGAGTCACTGATTTTATTATATGCATATTTGTGCAATGAAATTGAAAAAGTGTATGAAGTAATAACGGTGCTTATTTTAATACGCCGAGGTCGTCAGCATTTACGTACATGTCTGAGATCACTTGGGGTATGTTTGGTGAGGAATTTTCAAAATTTAAGGTGCCGTTCGGTCAGTAGCGGAGGGAAGGGGGTCAATGGGTTGACGCGACCCAACAACTCTGTATTACTCTGTATAATTTTAGAAAAACTAATGAAAAAAATTTGAAAATTTTGAGTTTTAACGATAAAGATAAAATAAAAAGTAAAGTGAATAGTACCATATTTGACTTTTTAGTATAAAAATGTAGTTTATTGTTAAAATGAACAGTACTGTGGATTTTTCATTAAAACTCCTTATAATTTTTCGTACTGATCCCATCCAACAATTAAGTTCAGATTAAGTCTTATGTCTTCGTGCTTTTGATTTCTTATTTGATTTCCATTAGTTTTCAAACTCTATCAATCAATAGTCTTTCACAAACGTTGGTGTATTTGCTTATGAAAATCAAATTAACAGTTGTGAATGCTTGACTGGAAAGAGTCTAACTAATTATACAGTGAAGATATATAGTTATAATTTAATTGTATACATTGAGATATGTAGTAACGATAATGATAATGATATTGTACAATAATGAGTTCAAAGTTTAAAAACCAATCATGAATTATATGTAATTAAAAATGTTACAATATCTTTTTTATCACGATTGCAGTGAGTTTAAATTTTGGATCCATCACTACTTTTTATAATAATTTTATTTTCAATTTTTACATTTTTAAATACTAAAATTTTGTTTAGTAACTATATCTATCAACTTTATATCGACATATATAAAAGACACTGGTGTGAACAGGGCAGATGCGTTCTACAAATCTGACAAAATTAGTTTAT